ACACAGACTCACCACACAGAGACACACAGACTCACCACACAGAGACCCACAGACTCATCACACAGAGACCCACAGACTCACCACACAGAGACCCACAGACTCACCACACAGAGACACACAGACTCACCACACAGAGACCCACAGACTCATCACACAGAGACCCACAGACTCACCACACAGAGACCCACAGACTCACCACACAGAGACCCACATACTCACCACACAGAGACCCACATACTCACCACACAGAGACCCACATACTCACCACACAGAGACCCACAGACTCATCACAGAGACACACAGACTCACCACACACAGAGACACACAGACTCACCACAGACACCCACAGACTCACCACACAGAGACACACAGACTCACCACACAGAGACCCATAGACTCGCCACACAGAGACTCCTCACACAGAGACCCACATACTCACCACACAGAGACCCACAGACTCATCACACAGAGACCCACATACTCACCACACAGAGACCCACAGACTCACCACACAGAGACCCATAGACTCATCACACAGAGACCCATAGACTCACCACACAGAGACCCACAGACTCACCACACAGAGACCCACAGACTCACCACACAGAGACCCACAGACTCACCACACAGAGACTCCTCACACAGAGACCCACAGACTCACCACACAGAGACCCACAGACTCACCACACAGAGACCCACAGACTCTTCACACAGAGGCCCACAGACTCACCACACAGAGACCCACAGACTCACCACACAGAGACCCACAGACTCACCACACAGAGACCCACAGACTCATCACACAGAGACCCACAGACTCACCACACAGAGACACACAGACTCACCACACAGAGACCCACAGACTCATCACACAGAGACCCACAGACTCACCACACAGAGACCCACAGACTCACCACACAGAGACCCACATACTCACCACACAGAGACCCACATACTCACCACACAGAGACCCACATACTCACCACACAGAGACCCACAGACTCATCACAGAGACACACAGACTCACCACACACAGAGACACACAGACTCACCACAGACACCCACAGACTCACCACACAGAGACACACAGACTCACCACACAGAGACCCATAGACTCGCCACACAGAGACTCCTCACACAGAGACCCACATACTCACCACACAGAGACCCACAGACTCATCACACAGAGACCCACATACTCACCACACAGAGACCCACAGACTCACCACACAGAGACCCATAGACTCATCACACAGAGACCCATAGACTCACCACACAGAGACCCACAGACTCACCACACAGAGACCCACAGACTCACCACACAGAGACCCACAGACTCACCACACAGAGACTCCTCACACAGAGACCCACAGACTCACCACACAGAGACCCACAGACTCACCACACAGAGACCCACAGACTCTTCACACAGAGGCCCACAGACTCACCACACAGAGACCCACAGACTCACCACACAGAGACCCACAGACTCACCACACAGAGACCCACAGACTCATCACACAGAGACCCACAGACTCACCACACAGAGACCCACAGACTCACCACACAGAGACCCACAGACTCACCACACAGAGACCCACAGACTCATCACACAGAGACCCACAGACTCACCACACAGAGACCCACAGACTCACCACACAGAGACCCACATAGTGAGGGTGTGGTGCTCAGCGTACCGAGTGGGAACGATGACCGTGATGGGGAACCGAACCAGCGGGCCCATCTGGGGACTGGCGATGTTGTAGGCGCAGAGCTGAACAAAGACAAAGACAAAGGTCCCCCGTGTAGCCTCGACCAGACTGTAGGGGCAAGTGCTGTTAGCGAGCAGCACCTATGAAGGCTACCGGCGCTGTGACACACGAGGGGGTGGGTGGCCAGCACCACGCCCGGCCGCCTTTGTCTCCCCAGTGGCGATGTTTAATACACACCGCTACACCAGCTACTCATTTGAGGACGAGTCGATCTAGGAGAGGCCCAGGACCGGTTCAGATAATCGTCACCGGTGGTGGCCGTGAGCGGGAATCGAACTCGGGTCGCCGGGTTCGTAGGGCAGCGTAGCGCTAACCACTACACTACCGCTCCCCACACTCACACACAGTGACACACAGACACACACACAGACACACACACAGACACACACACAGACACACATACACACACAGTGACACACATACACACATACACACACAGTGACACACAGACACACACACAGGCACACACACAGACACACAGACAGACACACACACAGACACACACACATACACACATAGTGACACACAGACACACACACAGACACACACACAGACACACACACATACACAGTGACACACATACACACACAGACACACACACAGACACACACATACACACATACACACACAGTAACACACAGACACACACACAGGCACACACAGGCACACACAGTGACACACACATACACACAGACACACACACAGACACACAGACACACACAGTGACACACAGACACACAGTGACACACACACACAGACACACACACACACAGACACACACACAGACACACACACTCAGACACACACACACAGTGACACACTCACACGCACACAGTGACACACTCACACAGACACACACACTCAGACACACACAGCCACACACACAGACACACACACAGACACACACAGAGACACACACACAGACACACACACCTGTGTGTGTGGCGTAGTACCTGTGTGTGTGTGGCGTGGTACCTGTGTGTGTGTGGTGTGGTACCTGTGTGTGGTGTGGTACCTGTGTGTGTGTGTGTGGTACCTGTGTGTGTGTAGTACCTGTGTGTGTGTGGTACCTGTGTGTGTGGCGTGGTACCTGTGTGTGTGGTGTGGTACCTGTGTGTGTGTGGCGTGGTACCTGTGTGTGTGTGTGGTGTGGTACCTGTGTGTGGTGTGGTACCTGTGTGTGTGTGTGTGTTACCTGTGTGTGTGTGGTACCTGTGTGTGTGGTGTGGTACCTGTGTGTGGTATTGTACCTGTGTCTGGTGTGGTACCTGTGTGTGTGTGTGGTACCTGTGTGTGTGTGTGTGGTACCTGTGTGTGTGTGGTACCTGTGTGTGTGTGGTACCTGTGTGTGTGTGTGGTACCTGTGTGTGTGTGTGTGGTACCTCTGTGTGTGGTACCTGTGTGTGTGGCGTGGTACCTGTGTGTGTGTGGTACCTGTGTGTGTGTGTGGTACCTCTGTGTGTGTGTGGTACCTGTGTGTGTGTGTGTGTGGTACCTGTGTGTGTGTGGTACCTGTGTGTGTGGTGTGGTACCTGTGTGTGGTATTGTACCTGTGTCTGGTGTGGTACCTGTGTGTGTGTGTGGTACCTGTGTGTGTGTGTGTGGTACCTGTGTGTGTGTGGTACCTGTGTGTGTGTGGCGTGGTACCTGTGTGTGGTATTGTACCTGTGTGTGTGTGGTACCTGTGTGTGTGTGTGTAGTACCTGTGTGTGTGTGGTACCTGTGTGTGTGGCGTGGTACCTGTGTGTGTGTGGTGTGGTACCTGTGTGTGTGGCGTGGTACCTGTGTGTGTGTGGTGTGGTACCTGTGTGTGTGTGTGGTACCTGTGTGTGTGTGTGGTACCTGTGTGTGTGTGTGGTACCTGTGTGTGTGTGTGGTACCTGTGTGTGTGTGTGTGGTACCTGTGTGTGTGTGTGTGGTACCTGTGTGTGTGTGTGGTACCTGTGTGTGTGGTACCTGTGTGTGTGTGGCGTGGTACCTGTGTGTGTGTGTGTGGTACCTGTGTGTGTGTGGCGTGGTACCTGTGTGTGTGTGGTACCTGTGTGTGTGTGTGTGTGGTACCTGTGTGTGTGTGTGTGGTACCTGTGTGTGTGTGTGTGGTACCTGTGTGTGTGTGTGGTACCTGTGTGTGTGGTACCTGTGTGTGTGTGGCGTGGTACCTGTGTGTGTGTGTGTGGTACCTGTGTGTGTGTGGCGTGGTACCTGTGTGTGTGTGTGGTACCTGTGTGTGTGACATGGTACCTGTGTGTGTGACATGGTACCTGTGTGTGTGTGGCGTGGTACCTGTGTGTGTGGCGTGGTACCTGTGTGTGTGGCGTGGTACCTGTGTGTGTGTGTGTGGTACCTGTGTGTGTGGTGTGGTACCTGTGTGTGTGTGGCGTGGTACCTGTGTGTGTGTGTGGTACCTGTGTGTGTGTGGTGTTGTACCTGTGTGTGTGGTGTGGTACCTGTGTGTGTGTGGCGTGGTACCTGTGTGTGTGTGGTGTGGTAACTGTGTGTGTGTGTGGTGTGGTACCTGTGTGTGTGTGTGGCGTGGTACCTGTGTGTGTGTGGTGTGGTACCTGTGTGTGTGGCGTGGTACCTGTGTGTGTGTGGTACCTGTGTGTGTGTGGTACCTGTGTGTGTGTGTGTGGTACCTGTGTGTGTGTGGTACCTGTGTGTGTGTGGTACCTGTGTGTGTGTGCCGTGGTACCTGTGTGTGTGTGGTACCTGTGTGTGTGGCGTGGTACCTGTGTGTGTGTGGTACCTGTGTGTGTGGCGTGGTACCTGTGTGTGTCTGGCGTGGTACCTGTGTGTGTGTGGTACCTGTGTGTGTGTGTGTGGTACCTGTGTGTGTGTGTGGTACCTGTGTGTGTGTGTGGTACCTGTGTGTGTGTGTGGTACCTGTGTGTGTGTGGTACCTGTGTGTGTGGTACCTGTGTGTGTGTGGTACCTGTGTGTGTGTGTGTGGTACCTGTGTGTGTGTGTGTGGTACCTGTGTGTGTGTGTGTGGTACCTGTGTGTGTGTGTGGTACCTGTGTGTGTGGCGTGGTACCTGTGTGCGTGTGGTACCTGTGTGTGTGTGTGTGGTACCTGTGTGTGTGTGTGTGGTACCTGTGTGTGTGTGTGTGGTACCTGTGTGTGTGTGTGGTACCTGTGTGTGTGGCGTGGTACCTGTGTGTGTGTGGTACCTGTGTGTGTGTGTGGTACCTGTGTGTGTGTGTGGAATCTGTGTGTGTGTGGTACCTGTGTGTGTGTGGTACCTGTGTGTGTGTGTGTGGTACCTGTGTGTGTGTGTGGTACCTGTGTGTGTGTGTGGTATCTGTGTGTGTGGTACCTGTGTGTGTGTGGTACCTGTGTGTGTGTGGTACCTGTGTGTGTGTGTGGTATCTGTGTGTGTGTGGTACCTGTGTGTGTGTGGTACCTGTGTGTGTGTGGTACCTGTGTGTGTGTGGTACCTGTGTGTGGGTGGTACCTGTGTGTGTGTGGTACCTGTGTGTGTGTGGTACCTGTGTGTGTGTGGCGTGGTACCTGTGTGTGTGTGTGGTACCTGTGTGTGTGTGTGGTACCTGTGTGTGTGTGGTACCTGTGTGTGTGTGTGGTACCTGTGTGTGTGTGGTACCTGTGTGTGTGTGTGGTTACCTGTGTGTGGTGTGGTACCTGTGTGTGTGTGTGTGGTACCTGTGTGTGTGTGTGGTACCTGTGTGTGTGTGGTAGCTGTGTGTGTGGCGTGGTACCTGTGTGTGTGTGGTACCTGTGTGTGGTACCTGTGTGTGTGGTACCTGTGTGTGTGGTACCTGTGTGTGTGGTACCTGTGTGTGTGGTACCTGTGTGTGTGACACCTGTGTGTGTGTGTGGTACCTGTGTGTGTGTGTGGTACCTGTGTGTGTGTGGTACCTGTGTGTGTGTGTGGTACCTGTGTGTGTGTGTGGTACCTGTGTGTGTGTGGTACCTGTGTGTGTGGCGTGGTACCTGTGTGTGTGTGGTGTGGTACCTGTGTGTGTGTGGCGTGGTACTTGTGTGTGTGTGTGGTGTGGTACCTGTGTGTGTGTGTGATCTGGTACCTGTGTGTGTGTGGCGTGTCACCTGTGTGTGTGTGTGTGTGGTACCTGTGTGTGTGGTACCTGTGTGTGTGTGGTACCTGTGTGTGTGTGTGTGGTACCTGTGTGTGTGTGTGGTACCTGTGTGTGTGTGGTACCTGTGTGTGTGTGGTACCTGTGTGTGTGGTACCTGTGTGTGTGTGGTGGTACCTGTGTGTGTGGTACCTTTGTGTGTGTGGTACCTGTGTGCGTGGTGTGGTACCTGTGTGTGTGTGTGGTACCTGTGTGTGTGTGGTACTTGTGTGTGTGTGGTACCTGTGTGTGGTACCTATGTGTGTGTGGTACCTGTGTGTGTGTGTGGTACCTGTGTGTGGTACCTGTGTGTGTGTGTGGTACCTGTGTGTGGCGTGGTACCTGTGTGTGTGTGGTACCTGTGTGTGTGTGTGGTACCTGTGTGTGTGTGTGGTACCTGTGTGTGTGTGTGGTACCTGTGTGTGTGTGTTGTACTTGTGTGTGTGAGTGGTACCTGTGTGTGGTACCTATGTGTGTGTGGTACCTGTGTGTGTGTGTGGTACCTGTGTGTGTGTGGCGTGGCACCTGTGTGTGTGTGTGGTATCTGTGTGTGTGTGGTACCTGTGTGTGTGTGGTACCTGTGTGTGTGTGTGTATGGTATCTGTGTGTGTGTGGTACCTGTGTGTGTGTGGTACCTGTGTGTGTGTGTGTGTGGTACCTGTGTGTGTGGTACCTGTGTGTGTGTGGTACCTGTGTGTGTGTGTGTGGTACCTGTGTGTGTGTGTGGTACCTGTGTGTGTGTGTGGTATCTGTGTGTGTGTGGTATCTGTGTGTATGTGGTACCTGTGTGTGTGTGTGTGGTACCTGTGTGTGTGTGGTACCTGTGTGTGTGTGTGTGGTACCTGTGTGTGTGTGTGGTACCTGTGTGTGTGTGGTACCTGTGTGTGTGTGTGTGGTACCTGTGTGTGTGTGGTACCTGTGTGTGTGTGTGTGGTACCTGTGTGTGTGTGGTACCTGTGTGTGTGTGTGTGGTACCTGTGTGTGTGTGTGGTACCTGTGTGTGTGTGTGTGGTACCTGTGTGTGTGGTGTGGTACCTGTGTGTGTGGTGTGGTACCTGTGTGTGTGTGGTACCTGTGTGTGTGTGGCGTGGTACCTGTGTGTGTGGTGTGGTACCTGTGTGTGTGTGGTACCTGTGTGTGTGTGGCGTGGTAGCTGTGTGTGTGTGTGTGGTACCTGTGTGTGTGGTGTGGTACCTGTGTGTGTGTGGTACGTGTGTGTGTGTGGCGTGGTAGCTGTGTGTGTGTGGTACCTGTGTGTGTGGTGTGGTACCTGTGTGTGTGTGGTACCTGTGTGTGTGGCGTGGTACCTGTGTGTGTGTGGTACCTGTGTGTATGTGGTACCTGTGTGTGTGGTACCTGTGTGTGTGTGTCTGTGGTACCTGTGTGTGTGTGGCGTGGTACCTGTGTGTGTGTGTGTGTGGTACCTGTGTGTGTGTGGTACCTGTGTGTGTGTGGTACCTGTGTGTGTGTGGCGTGGTACCTGTGTGTGTGTGATCTGGTACCCGTGTGTGTGTGGTGTGGTACCTGTGTGTGTGGCGTGGTACCTGTGTGTGTGTGGTGTGGTACCTGTGTGTGTGTGTGGTAGCTGTGTGTGTGTGTGGTGTGGTACCTGTGTGTGTGTGTGGTACCTGTGTGTGTGGCGTGTCACCTGTGTGTGTGTGTGTGGTACCTGTGTGTGTGTGGTACCTGTGTGTGTGGTACCTGTGTGTGTGGTACCTGTGTGTGTGTGGTACCTGTGTGTGTGTGGTACCTGTGTGTGTGTGTGGTACCTGTGTGTGTGTGTGTGGTACCTGTGTATGTGTGTGGTACCTGTGTGTGTGTGGTACCTGTGTGTGTGTGTGTGTGGTACCTGTGTGTGTGTGTGGTACCTGTGTGTGTGTGTGTGGTACCTGTGTGTGTGTGTGGTACCTGTGTGTGTGTGTGGTACCTGTGTGTGTGTGGTACCTGTGTGTGTGTGGTACCTGTGTGTGTGTGTGTGGTACCTGTGTGTGTGTGTGGTACCTGTGTGTGTGTGTGGTACCTGTGTGTGTGTGGTACCTGTGTGTGTGTGTGTGGTACCTGTGTGTGTGGTACCTGTGTGTGTGTGTGTGGTACCTGTGTGTGTGGTACCTGTGTGTGTGTGGTGTGGTACCTGTGTGTGTGTGTGGTACCTGTGTGTGTGTGGTACCTGTGTGTGTGTGTGGTACCTGTGTGTGTGTGTGGTACCTGTGTGTGTGTGGTAGCTGTGTGTGTGTGTGGTACCTGTGTGTGTGTGGTACCTGTGTGTGTGTGGCGTGGTACCTGTGTGTGTGTGGTACCTGTGTGTGTGTGTGGTACCTGTGTGTGTGTGGTACCTGTGTGTGTGTGTGGTACCTGTGAGTGTGTGTGGTACCTGTGTGTGTGTGTGTGGTACCTGTGTGTGTGTGTGCTACCTGTGTGTGTGTGTCGTACCTGTGTGTGTGTGGTACCTGTGTGTGTGGTACCTGTGTGTGTGGTACCTGTGTGTGTGTGGCGTGGTACCTGTGTGTGTGTGTGTGGTACCTGTGTGTGTGTGGCGTGGTACCTGTGTGTGTGGTGTGGTACCTGTGTGTGTGTGTGTGGTGTGGTACCTGTGTGTGTGTGATCTGGTACCTGTGTGTGTGTGGCGTGTCACCTGTGTGTGTGTGTGTGTGGTACCTGTGTGTGTGTGTGGTACCTGTGTGTGTGTGGTACCTGTGTGTGTATGGTACCTGTGTGTGTGTGGTACCTGTGTGTGTGTGTGGTACCTCTGTGTGTGGTACCTGTGTGTGTGGCGTGGTACCTGTGTGTGTGTGGTACCTGTGTGTGTGTGGTACCTGTGTGTGTGTGTGGTACCTCTGTGTGTGTGTGGTACCTGTGTGTGTGTGTGTGGTACCTGTGTGTGTGGTACCTGTGTGTGTGGCATGGTACCTGTGTGTGTGTATGGTACCTGTGTGTGTGTGGTACCTGTGTGTGTGTGGTACCTGTGTGTGTGGTACCTGTGTGTGTGTGTGGTACCTGTGTGTGTGGTGTGGTACCTGTGTGTGTGTGTGTGGTACCTGTGTGTGTGGTACCTGTGTGTGTGTGGTACCTGTGTGTGTGTGGTGTGGTACCTGTGTGTGTGTGTGTGTGGTACCTGTGTGTGTGGTACCTGTGTGTGTGTGATACCTGTGTGTGTGTGGCGTGTCACCTGTGTGTGTGTGTGTGGTACCTGTGTGTGTGTGGTACCTGTGTGTGTGTGTGTGTGGTACCTCTGTGTGATGCAGGCCCTCAGGTAGGCCCCGCGGGTCGACTTGCAGGGACACGTGCCGTGCCTGGTTCATCAGCTCCAGGTGGGATGGGCAGCGAGCCCACGGCGCTGAACAAGCCAGAGCCAGGTGCAGCTGCAGGCCGATCTTCACTTCGTTGTCTACACGGACACGTGGTGGGGAGACACGTGGTGGGGAGACACGTGGTGTGGGACACGTGGGGGGGAGACACGTGGGAGGGGAGACACGTGGTGGGGGACAGGTGGGAGACACGTGGGAGGAGAGACACGTGGGGGGGAGACACGTGGTGTGGGAGACACGTGGGAGGAGAGACACGTGGTGGGGAGACACGTGGTGTGGGAGACACGTGGGGGAGACATGTGGGGAGACACGTGGTGAGGGACACGTGGGGAGACACGTGGTGAGGGACACGTGGGGAGACACGTGGTGAGGGACACGTGGGGGACACGTGGGGAGACACGTGGTGTGGGACACGTGGGGGGGAGACACGTGGTGTGGGACACGTGGGGGAGACATGTGGGAGACACGTGGGGAGACACGTGGTGTGGGACACGTGGGGAGACACGTGGTGAGGGACACGTGGGGAGACACGTGGTGAGGGACACGTGGGGGACACGTGGGGAGACACGTGGGGAGACACGTGGGGGGGAGACACGTGGTGGGGAGACACGTGGGGGAGACATGTGGGAGACACGTGGGGAGACACGTGGTGTGGGAGACACGTGGGGGAGACACGTGGTGGGGAGACACGTGGTGGGGGACAGGTGGGAGACACGTGGTGAGGGACACGTGGTGGGGAGACACGTGGGGGGGAGACACGTGGTGGGGGACAGGTGGGAGACACGTGGGAGGAGAGACACGTGGGGGGGAGACACGTGGTGTGGGAGACACGTGGGGGAGACATGTGGGGAGACACGTGGTGAGGGACACGTGGGGAGACACGTGGTGAGGGACACGTGGGGGACACGTAGGAGACACGTGGTGGGGAGACACGTGGGGGAGACACGTGGGGGGGAGACACGTGGGGGACACGTGGTGGGGGACACGTGGGGGACACGTAGGAGACACGTGGTGGGGAGACACGTGGGGGGAGACACGTGGGGGGAGACACGTGGTGGGGAGACACGTGGTGGGGAGACACGTGGGGGGAGACACGTGGTGGGGGACACGTGGTGGGGAGACACGTGGTGGGGAGACACGTGGTGGTGGGGAGACACGTGGTGGTGGTGAGTCACGTGGTGGTGAGTCACGTGGTGGGGAGACACGTGGGGGGGAGACACGTGAGGGACACGTGGGAGGGGAGACACGTGGTGGGGAGACACGTGGGGGAGACACGTGGGGGACACGTGAGGGACACGTGAGGGACACGTGGGAGACACATGAGGGAGACACGTGGGGGAGACACGTGGGGGGGAGACACGTGGTGGGGAGACACGTGGGGAGACACGTGGGGAGACACGTGAGGGACACGTGGGAGACACGTGGGAGACACGTGGGGGGGGACACGTGGTGGGGACACGTGGGGGACACGTGGTGGGGACACGTGGGGGGGAGACACGTGGTGGGGACACGTGGTGGGGACACGTGGTGGGAGACACGTGGGGGACACGTGAGGGACACGTGGGGAGACACGTGGGGGAGACACGTGGGGGACACGTGAGGGACACGTGGGGAGACACGTGGGGGACACGTGAGGGACACGTGGGGAGACACGTGGGGGAGACACGTGGGGGGAGACACGTGGGGGAGACACGTGGGGGGAGACACGTGGGGGGGGGACACGTGGGGGGAGACACGTGGGGGGGGGACACGTGGGGGAGACACGTGGGGGGAGACACGTGGGGGAGACACGTGGGGGGAGACACGTCGGAGACACGTGGGGAGACACGTGGGGGGGGGAGACACGTGGTGGGGAGACACGTGGGGGACACGTGGGGGACACGTGGGGGACACGTGGGGGACACGTGGGGGACACATGGGGGGGAGACACGTGGGGGACACGGAGACACGGTGGAGACACGGTGGAGACACGGTGTGTCTCTCCGTATCTGTCTCCGTGTCTCTCTGTCTCCGTGTGTCCATGCCTCTGTCTGTGTGTCTCTGTCTCTCTGTGTGTCTCTCTGCGTCTCTCTGTCTGTGTCTCTGTGTCTCTCTGTGTCTCTGTATCTCTCTCTCTCTCTCTGTCTGTGTCTCTCTGTGTCTCTCTGTCTGTCTCTCTGTGTATCTCTGTCTCTGTCTGTGTCTCTCTGTCTGTGTCTCTCTGTCTCTCTGTGTCTCTCTGTCTGTGTCTCTCTGTGTGTCTGTGTCTCTCTGTCTGCGTCTCTCTGTCTGCGTCTCTCTGTGTCTCTCTGTCTGTGTCTCTCTCTGTGTCTCTCTCTGTGTCTCTGTGTCTCTCTCTGTCTGTGTCTCTCTTTGTGTCTCTCTGTCTGTGTCTCTCTGTCTGTGTCTCTCTGTCTGTGTCTCTGTCTCTCTGTGTCTCTGTCTCTCTGTGTCTCTCTGTCTGTGTCTCTCTGTATGTCTCTCTGTCTGTGGCTCTGTATATCTCTGTGTCTCTCTGTGTCTCTGTGTCGCTCTGTGTGTCTGTGTCCCTGTGTCTCTCTGTGTCTCTCTGTGTGCCTCTGTGTCTCTCTGTGTCTCTGTGTATCTCTGTATGTCTCTCTGTGTCTCTCTGTGTCTCTGTGTGTCTGTGTGTCTGTGTCTCTCTGTGTCTCTGTGTGTCTGTGTGTCTGTGTCTCTCTGTGTCTCTCTGTGTCTCACTGTGTGTGTCTCTCTCTCTCTCTCTCTGTATCTCTCTGTCTGTGTCTCTCTGTGCCTCTCTCTGTGTCTCTGTGTGTCTGTGTGTCTGTGTCTCTCTGTGTCTCTCTGTGTCTCTGTGTCTCTCTGTGTCTCTGTGTGTCTGTGTCTCTCTGTGTCTCTCTGTCTCTCTGTGTCTCTGTGTCTCTCTGTGTCTCTCTCTGTGTCTCTGTGTGTCTGTGTGTCTGTGTCTCTCTGTGTCTCTCTGTGTCTCTGTGTGTCTGTGTCTCTCTGTGTCTCTGTGTGTCTCTGTGTCTCTCTGTGTTTCTCTGTGTCTCTCTCTGTGTCTCTGTGTCTCTCTGTGTCTGTGTCTCTCTGTGTCTCTCTGTGTGTCTGTGTCTCTCTGTGTCTCTGTGTGTCTGTGTCTCTCTGTGTCTCTCTGTGTGCCTCTGTGTCTCTCTGTGTCTCTGTGTATCTCTGTATGTCTCTCTGTGTCTCTGTGTGTCTGTGTCTCTGTGTCTCTCTGTGTCTCTCTGTGTGCCTCTGTGTGCCTCTGTGTCTCTCTGTGTCTCTGTGTATCTCTGTATGTCTCTCTGTGTCTCTGTGTGTCTCTGTGTGTCTGTGTGTCTGTGTCTCTGTGTCTCTCTGTGTCTCTGTGTGTCTGTGTGTCTGTGTCTCTCTGTGTCTCTCTGTGTGTCTATGTGTCTGTGTCTCTCTGTGCCTCTCTCTGTGTCTCTGTGTGTCTGTGTGTCTGTGTCCCTCTGTGTCTCTCTGTGTCTCTGTGTCTCTCTGTGTCTCTCTCTGTGTCTCTGTGTCTCTGTGTGTCTGTGTCTCTCTGTGTCTCTCTGTGTCTCTCTCTGTGTCTCTGTGTGTCTGTGTGTCTGTGTCTCTCTGTGTCTCTGTGTGTCTGTGTCTCTCTGTGTCTCTGTGTGTCTCTGTGTCTCTCTGTGTCTCTCTGTGTCTCTGTGTCTCTCTGTGTCTCTCTCTGTGTCTCTCTCTGTGTCTCTGTGTCTGTGTCTCTCTATGTCTCTCTGTGTCTCTGTGTGTCTGTGTCTCTCTGTGTCTCTCTGTGTCTCTGTGTGTCTGTGTCTCTGTGTGTCTGTGTCTGTCTGTGTGCCTCTGTGTCTCTCTGTGTCTCTGTGTATCTCTGTATGTCTCTCTGTGTCTCTGTGTGTCTGTGTCTCTGTGTCTCTCTGTGTCTCTCTGTGTCTCTCTGTCTGTGTCTCTCTGTATGTCTCTCTGTCTGTGTCTCTGTGTATCTCTGTGTCTCTCTGTGTCTCTGTGTGTCTGTGTCTCTGTGTCTCTCTGTGTCTCTCTGTGTGCCTCTGTGTCTCTCTGTGTCTCTGTGTATCTCTGTATGTCTCTCTGTGTCTCTGTGTGTCTGTGTCTCTGTGTCTCTCTGTGTCTCTCTGTGTGCCTCTGTGTCTCTCTGTGTCTCTGTGTATCTCTGTATGTCTCTCTGTGTCTCTCTGTGTCTCTGTGTGTCTGTGTGTCTGTGTCTCTCTGTGTCTCTCTGTGTCTCTGTGTGTCTGTGTGTCTGTGTGTCTGTGTCTCTCTGTGTCTCTCTGTGTGTCTCACTGTGTGTCTCTCTCTCTCTCTGTATCTCTCTGTCTGTGTCTCTCTGTGTCTCTCTGTGTCTCTCTGTCTGTGTCTCTCTGTCTGTGTCTCTCTGTGTCTCTCTGTCTGTGTCTCTCTGTCTGCGTCTCTCTGTCTGCGTCTCTCTGTGTCTCTCTGTCTGTGTCTCTCTCTGTGTCTGTCTGTGTCTCTGTGTCTCTCTCTGTCTGTGTCTCTCTCTGTGTCTCTCTGTCTGTGTCTCTCTGTCTGTGTCTCTGTGTATCTCTGTATCTCTCTGTGTCTCTGTGTGTCTGTGTCTCTGTGTCTCTCTGTGTCTCTGTGTGCCTCTGTGTCTCTCTGTGTCTCTGTGTATATCTGTATGTCTCTCTGTGTCTCTGTGTGTCTGTGTCTCTCTGTGTCTCTCTGTGTGCCTCTGTGTCTCTCTGTGTCTCTGTGTATCTCTGTATGTCTCTCTGTGTCTCTCTGTGTCTCTGTGTGTCTGTGTGTCTGTGTCTCTCTGTGTCTCTCTGTGTCTCTGTGTGTCTGTGTGTCTGTGTCTCTCTGTGTCTCACTGTGTGTCTCTCTCTCTCTCTCTGTATCTCTCTGTCTGTGTCTCTCTGTGTCTCTCTGTGTGTCTGTGTGTCTGTGTCTCTCTGTGCCTCTCTCTGTGTGTCTGTGTGTCTGTGTCTCTCTGTGTCTCTCTGTGTCTCTGTGTCTCTCTGTGTCTCTGTGTGTCTGTGTCTCTCTGTGTCTCTCTGTCTCTCTGTGTCTCTGTGTCTCTGTGTCTCTCTGTGTCTCTCTCTGTGTCTCTGTGTGTCTGTGTCTCTCTGTGTCTCTCTGTGTCTCTGTGTGTCTGTGTCTCTCTGTGTCTCTGTGTGTCTCTGTGTCTCTCTGTGTCTCTCTGTGTCTCTGTGTCTCTGTGTCTCTCTGTGTCTCTCTCTGTGTCTCTGTGTCTCTGTGTGTCTGTGTCTCTCTGTGTCTCTGTGTCTCTGTGTCTCTCTGTCTCTGTGTCTCTCTGTGTCTCTGTGTGTGTCTGTGTCTCTGTGTGTCTGTGTCTCTCTGTGTCTCTCTGTGTCTCTGTGTGTCTGTGTCTCTCTGTGTCTCTGTGTGTCTCTGTGTCTCTCTGTGTCTCTGTGTGTCTGTGTCTCTCTGTGTCTCTGTGTGTCTCTGTGTGTCTCTGTGTCTCTGTGTCTCTCTGTGTCTCTGTGTGTCTGTGTCTCTCTGTGTCTCTGTGTGTCTCTGTGTCTCTCTGTGTCTCTGTGTGTCTGTGTCTCTCTGTATCTCTCTGTGTCTCTGTGTGTCTGTGTCTCTCTGTGTCTCTGTGTGTCTCTGTGTCTCTCTGTGTCTCTGTGTGTCTGTGTCTCTCTGTGTCTCTGTGTGTCTCTGTGTGTCTCTGTGTCTCTCTGTGTCTCTGTGTGTCTGTGTCTCTCTGTGTCTCTGTGTGTCTCTGTGTCTCTCTGTGTCTCTGTGTGTCTGTCTCTCTTTGTCTCTGTGTGTCTCTGTGTCTCTCTCTCTATGTCTCTGTGTCTCCGTGTGTCTCCGTGTCTCCGTGGTGTGTCTCACCGGTGCCCTCGGGGAACGTCGGCTCGATGGACACTCCGTACTCCTGAGCCTCTCTCTGTGTCTCTGTGTCTCTGTCTGTGTCTCTGTGTCTCTCTCTCTCTGTGTCTCTCTGTGTCTCTGTGTGTCTCTCTGTGTCTCTCTGTGTCTCTGTGTCTCTCTCTGTGTGTGTGTCTCTGTGTGTCTCTCTGTGTCTCTGTGTCTCTCTCTCTATGTGTCTCTCTGTGTCTCCGTGTGTCTCCGTGTCTCTCCGTGGTGTCTCACCGGTGCCCTCGGGGAACGTCGGCTCGATGGACACTCCGTACTCGTGAGCCTCTGTCTGTGTCTCTGTGTCTCTGTCTGTGTCTCTGTGTCTCTCTCTCTCTCTGTGTGTCTCTGTGTGTCTCTGTGTGTCTCTGTGTGTCTCTCTGTGTCTCTCTGTGTCTCTCTGTGTCTCTGTGTTTCTCTCTGTGTGTGTGTCTCTGTGTGTCTCTCTGTGTCTCTCTGTGTCTCTGTGTCTCTCTCTCTGTGTCTCTCCGTGTGTCTCCGCGTGTCTCTGTGTGCCTCACCGGTGCCCTCGGGGAACGTCGGCTCGATGGACACTCCGTACTCGTGAGCCTCTGTCTGTGTCTCTCTGTGTCTCTGTGTGTCTCTCTGTGTCTCTGTGTCTCTCTCTCTGTGTCTCTCTCTGTGTCTCCGCGTGTCTCTGTGTGTCTCACCGGTGCCCTCGGGGAACGTCGGCTCGATGGACACTCCGTACTCGTGAGCCTCTGTCTGTGTCTCTGTGTCTCTCTCTCTGTGTGTCTCTCTGTGTCTCTCTGTGTCTCTGTGTGTCTGTGTCTCTGTGTGTCTGTGTCTCTCTATCTGTGTGTCTCTCTCTCTGTGTGTCTCTGTGTGTCTCTGTGTGTCTCTCTGTGTCTCTCTGTGTCTCTCTCTCTCCGTGTCTCTGTGTCTCTCTCTGTGTCTCTCTCCGTGTGTCTCCGTGGTGTCTCACCGGTGCCCTCGGGGAACGTCGGCTCGATGGACACTCCGTACTCGTGAGCCTCTGTCTGTGTCTCTCTGTGTGTCTATGTGTGTCTCTCTGTGTCTCTGTGTGTCTGTGTGTCTCTCTCTCTGTGTGTCTGTGTCTCTCTCTGTCTCTCTGTCTCTCTGTGTCTCTGTGTGTCTCACCGGTGCCCTCGGGGAACGTCGGCTCGATGGACACTCCGTACTCGTGAGCGGAGCCCAGCTGCTCGGCCTCCCGCAGGTAAACTCCACGCAGAGAGCCGACGCTCGCGGAGAATCGCAGCAGGGCACAGGGCGAGCCGGCACTCGCCACGAGCAGGTCAAACGCTCGGTCCACCTGGACCACCCGAGGTAGGCCGGGGAGAGGAGGGAGGGGAGCTTCTGTGTGAGTGGGTCTGTGGGTCTCTGTGTGATGAGTCTGTGAGTCTCTGTGTGATGAGTCTGTGGGTCTGTGTGTGAGTGAGTCTGTGGGTCTCTGTGTGATGAGTCTGTGGGTCTCTGTGTGGTGAGTCTGTGGGTCTCTGTGTGATGAGTCTGTGGGTCTCTGTGTGGTGAGTCTGTGGGTCTCTGTGTGGTGAGTCTGTGGGTCTCTGTGTGGTGAGTCTGTGGGTCTCTGTGTGATGAGTCTGTGGGTCTCTGTGCGGTGATGAGTCTATGGGTCTCTGTGTGAGTGAGTCTGTGGGTCTCTGTGTGAGTGAGTCTGTGGGTCTCTGTGTGATGAGTCTGTGGGTCTCTGTGTGGTGAGTCTGTGGGTCTCTGTGTGATGAGTCTGTGGGTCTCTGTGTGTGATGAGTCTGTGGGTCTCTGCGTGGTGAGTCTGTGTGTGAGTGTCTGTGTGAGTCTGTGTGTGTGTGTGTGTGAGTCTGTGTGTGTGTGTGAGTCTGTGTGTGTGTGTGTGAGTCTGTGTGTGTGTGTGAGTCTGTGTGTGTGTGAGTCTCTCACCTGGATGAGTCCGTGGCCCTGAGCAAAGACTTCGATGTCCCCCAGCCGCACCGCTGAGTTCTCCAGGGCCCGTCGCACCGAGTGCGGTGAGTAGGGCACTCCCAGGGACTTCAGTCCTGCAGAAGGCCCAGGTACCGCTCCAGCGACACGGCCGTGGTGACCCCAGCCACTGACCCGGCCCACCGTGACCCCAGCCACTGACCCGGCCCACCGTGACCCCAGCCACTGACCCGGCCCATCGTGACCCCAGCCACTGACCCGGCCCATCGTGACCCCAGCCACTGACCCGACCCACCGTGACCCCAGCCACTGACCCGGCCCACGGTGACCCCAGCCACTGACCTGGCCCATCGTGACCCCAGCCACTGACCCGGCCCATGGTGACCCCAGCCACTGACCCGGCCCATGGTGACCCCAGCCACTGACCCGGCCCATGGTGACCCCAGCCACTGACCCAGCCCACCGTGACCCCAGCCACTGACCCGGCCATCGTGACCCCAGCCACTGACCGGGCCCATGGTGACCCCAGCCACTGACCCGAGCCACCATGACCCCAGCCACTGACCCGGTCATCGTGACCCCAGACACTGACCCGGCCCATGGTGACCCCAGCCACTGACCCGGCCCATGGTGACCCCAACCACTGACCCGGCCATCGTGACCCCAGCCACTGACCCAGCCCACGGTGACCCCAGCCACTGACCCGGCCCATGGTGACCCCAGCCACTGACCCGGCCCATCATGACCGCAGCCACTGACCCGACCCACCGTGACCCCAGCCACTGACCCGGCCCACTGTGACCCCAGCCACTGACCCGGCCCACTGTGACCCCAGCCACTGACCCGGCCCATGGTGACCCCAGCCACTGACCCGGCCCATCATGACCCCAGCCACTGACCCGGCCATCATGACCCCAGCCACTGACCCGGCCCACCGTGACCCCAGCGACCCGGCCGTGGTGACCCCAGCGACCCGGCCGTGGTGACCCCAGCGACTGACCCGACAGGATGAGCGCGATGCCACCGCAGGCGTTGGGAGAGGACATGGAGGTGCCGTTCATCAGCTGGGTCCCTCGCAGCGTCCAGTTGGGCACTGCGGCGATGGCGCCGCCCGGCGCGCTCACACACACCCCCAGAGAGCCGTCCACGCTGGTACACACACACACACAGATACATACACACACATACATACACATACACAGATTCACACACACATACACACACACACACAGATACACACACAGATACACACACATACACACACATACACACACACACTCCCAGAGAGCCGTCCACGCTGGTACACACACACAGATACACACACAGATACACACAGATTCACATACACACACACAGATACACACACACATACACACACACACAGACACATAGATACACACACACATACACACATACACATACACACACACACAGACACATAGATACACACACACACCCCCAGAGAGCCGTCCACGCTGGTACAACAACAACAACCGCCATTCGCCACTAAGTGGCGGTGACGTCACCACGACGCTTGTGCCAGGCTATGTGCACCCTGAGGCCACGTGAAGTGTCGAACGCCCGCTGGCAGGAGGTCACTGGGCAGACCCAGGTGCCACGGGTCGACTGACTGAGATGACTGGCTGATGCACCACCTGTGCCCCCTACTGTGCCAACCTGCTGTGCTTTAGCCACCTGGCGCTCCGCTCGCTGTTGTGAGCGTCGCTCCTCCGCCCTCCGTTGTTGTTGGAGGGCGACTGCCTCCAACTGCCCAGTAGCATCCTTCACGAGCCTCCTCCACAGAGGCCGATCTTGACACCGCTGGTACCAGTCATCGGCAAGTCCACTCAGCTCCACGTCCTCCTGTACCACATCACTCCATCTCTTCTCTAGCCCGTGCCGCGCCCGCTTAGCCCCCTCAATCCGGCCAAACAAAAGCTGTTTCGGCATGCGGTGGCTGGACATGCGGGCTACATGACCCAGCCATCGCAGCCTTGCCTGCCGGAGGAGCTCACCGATGGGACCCTGCCCAGATCTTTCAAGGATTTGTGAGCTCCTCACACAATCCAGTCTGGTTAAACCCAGGATGGATCGTAGGCAGGCCAGCCTAAATGTTTCTAACCGGCGAAGATGTTCCATTAGGGGGGTCCACGTTTCGCAAGCGTAGAGAAGGGAGGGAATGACCGTGGCCGAGAAGACCTGAAGCTTAGTGCGGAGCGACAGACCAGGTAGCTTCCACACAGCGTTACGCAGCCGATGAAAAGATATTGCCGCTCGACTGATTCGGAGTGAGACCTCTGCTGTTAAACTGGAGCCAGTCATAAGCACACTGCCCAGGTATGGGAAACTCTCCACTCTCTCCACAACTGCCCCATCACCGATTGGGAGTTGTGGAGGTGGAGTGTCCGATGGTACAAAATACCCAGGCAGGTGCTTAGTTTTGGTGGGGCTGATGGTAAGGCCCCACCTCTTAGTGGCACGCTCCAGTCTCAGCAGCAGCGTCTCCAACTCCTCCTCTGACTGAGCAGCTATTACCAAGTCATCAGCATACATAACGTGGTTGAGCAATAGGGAGCCATCCCTTGACCGCACCCGGGCGTCGATTAGCTTCCCATTATATCTGTACCATATGGAGATTCCCCCGGTACAGCTATTGAAGGCTTCACGAACTACGTGGTCAAAATAGATGTTAAATAATGTGGGAGCCAGAGGACATCCCTGTCGCACCCCAAGGTGTACAGGGAATGGCTCTGACTCCCGGCCACGTAGTTTTACCCGGGCCCGCTCACCATCATGAAGGTCCTTAATGATCGTGAGCAGAGGGTCAGGTACTCCAAAAGCACGAAGAACGACCCAGAGCCCAGGCCTACTGATGGTATCATAGGCCTTGACCAGGTCAATAAAGCAGAGATGTAGGTCTTGTTGGAATTCCCTACACCTCTGCTGTAGCAGACGGACAGAAAATATGGCATCTGTGCAGGACCGCCCTTTCCTGAAACCGCATTGGGGCTCCGCAAGCCTCTCCTCAGCGTGCCTGGCAAGGCGATGCTGAATAATCCTTGCCAGGACCTTTCCCGGCACACTGAGGAGTGAGATGCCCCTGTAGTTGTTACAGTCTGTGCGGTCCCCCTTCTTAAAAAGGGGGACCACCAGGGCATCCTTCCAATCCTGCGGAACCCGTCCAGTGGTCCAGACTGTTGTTATGATGTCATATAGGGCAGTCTGTGCACAAACGCCACCCTCCCTCAGCATTTCGCTTGGGAGATCATCTCTGCCCGCTGCCTTTCCTGGTCTCAGACTCCGGATCGCCTTCAATACTTCATCAGCAGCTGGCACCTCAGCCAGCCACTCACAGGGGGTGACTTCATCCAATATTTGAGTACACACACACATACACACACACATACACACACACACAGAATCACACACACACACACACATAGATACACACAGATTCACACACACACACACAGAGAGCCGTCCACGCTGGTACACACACACACAGATACACACACACAGATACACACACACACACATAGATACACACACACACATACACACACATACCCACACAGATACATACACACACACACACAGATTCACACACACAGATACACACACACCCCCAGAGAGCCGTCCACGCTGGTACACACACACACACATACACACACACATACACACACACACAGATACACACACACACATAGATACACACACACACAGATTCACACACACACATACACACATACACACATACACATACACACACATATACACACATACACACAGATACACACACACCCCCAGAGAGCCGTCCACGCTGGTACACAAAGATAAAGACAAAGATCCCCCGTATAGCCTGAACAGACTGTAGGGGCAAGTGCTGTTAGCGAGCACCTATGAAGGCCGGAACGGTACACGAGGGGGTGGGTGGCCAGCACCACGCCCGACCGCCTTTGTCTCCCTAGTGGCAATGTTTACACACCGCACCAGGTACTCATTTTGAGGCTGAGTCGACCTAGGGGAGGCCCGGGACCGGTTCAGATAATCGTCACTGGTGTTGGCCGTGAGCGGGAATCGAACCCGGGTCGCCACACACACACACACCCCCAGAGAGCCGTCCACGCTGGTACACACACACACATACACACACACATACACACACACATACACAGAGATACACACACACACACAGATACACACACACATACACACACACACAGATTCACACACACATACACACACACACAGATTCACACACACATACACACACACACAGATTCACACACACACATATACACACACACATTCACACACACATACATAGATACATACACCCCCAGAGAGCCGTCCACGCTGGTACACACACACACATACACACACAGATACATACACACACACAGATTCACACACACATACATACACACACACACCCCCAGAGAGCCGTCCACGCTGGTACACACACACAGATACACACACACACACACACAGAGCCGTCCATGCTGGTACACACACACACAGATACACACACACATACACACAGATACACACACATACACACACACACTCCCAGAGAGCCGTCCACGCTGGTACACACACACACACATACACACACACAGATACACAGACACATAGATATACACACACAGATACACACACAGATACACACACACAGATACACACACACAGATACACACACACCCCCAGAGAGCCGTCCACGCTGGGCGGTGGCGGTGGTGATGGCGGTGATGGCGGTGCCGGTGATGGCGGTGGTGATGGCGGTGGTGATGGCGGTGGTGATGGCGGTGGTGATGGTGATGGCGGTGGTAATGGCGGTGGCGGTGGTGGCGGTGGTGGTGGCGGTGGTGGTGATGGCGGTGGTGGAGGCGGTGGTGATGGTGATGGCGGTGGTAATGGCGGTGGCGGTGGTGATGGTGATGGCGGTGGTAATGGCGGTGGCGGTGGTGGCGGTGGTGGTGGTGGCGGTGGTGGTGGCGGTGGTGGTGATGGCGGTGGTAGTGACGGTGGCGGTGATGGCGGTGATGGCGGTGATGGCGGTGATGGCAGTGGTGATGGCGGTGGTGGTGGTGGTGATGGCGGTGGTGGTGATGGCGGTGGTGGTGGTGGTGGTGATGGTGATGGAGGGCTACCAGGGTCCGCGTGATGACCAAGTATACTGGTTGCCTGGCAGCTTCTCCCGCAGTGAGTACTCAGCGACCATCATGTCCGGAGAGACGTAGGCCCCCACACCTGCCACACACACACACACACATCACACACACATACATCACACATCACACACACATACATCACACACACATACATCACACACACATCACACACACATACATCACACACACATACATACATCACACACACATACATCACACACACACACATCACACACACATACATCACACACATACATCACACACACATACATACATCACACACACATACATCACACACACATACATCACACACACATACATCACACACACATACATCACACACACATACATCACACACACATACATACATCACACACATCACACACACATACATACATCACACACACATCACACACACATACACACATACATACATCACACACACATCACACACACATCACACATACATCACACACATCACACACACATCACACATACATCACACACATCACACACATCACACACAAACATCACACACACCACACACACACATACATCACACATCACACACACATACATCACACACATCACACACACACACACCACATACATCACACATCACACACACATCACACACACATACACATACATCACACACACACACATACATCACACACACATACACACATACATCACACATCACACACATCACACACACATACATACATCACACACACATCACACACACATACACACATACATACATCACACACACATCACACACACATACACACATACATCACACATCACACACACATACATCACACACACATCACACACACACACATCACACACACATACATCACACATCACACACACATACATCACACACACATACATCACACATCACACACACATACATCACACACACATACATCACACACACATACATCACACATCACACACACATACATCACACACACACATACATCACACATACACACATACATCACACATCACACACACATACATCACACACACATACATCACACACACATACATCACACACACATACATACATCACACATACATCACACACACATACATCACACATCACACACACATACATCACACATCACACACACATACATCACACATCACACACACATACATCACACATCACACACATCACACACACATACATACATCACACACACATACATCACACACACACCACACACCACACATCACACACACATACATCACACATCACACACACATACATCACACATCACACACATCACACACACATACATACATCACACACACATCACACACATACACACATACATCACACATCACACACACATACATCACACACACATACATCACACACACATCACACACACATCACACACATCACACACACATACATCACATCACACACACATACATCACACATCACACACACATCACACACGCATACATCACACACACATCACACACACATCACACACACATACATCACACATCACACACATCACACATCATACACACACACCACACACACATACATCACACACTCACACACACTCACCACACACACCACACACACCACACACACCACACACCACACACACACACACATACATCACACACACACACCACACACACACATCACACACACATACATCACACACACACACATACATCACACATCACACACACACATCACACACACATACATCACACACACATCACACACACATACATCACACATCACACACATCACACATCATACACACACACCACACACACATACATCACACACTCACACACACTCACCACACACACCACACACACCACACACACCACACACCACACACACACACATACATCACACACACACACCACACACACACATCACACACACAGATCACACACACATCACACACACACATCACACACAAACGCATTACACACACACATCACACACATCACACACACACCACACACACCACATACACCACATACACACACACCACACACACCACATACACACACACCACACACACATCACACACACACATCACACACACCACATACACACCACATACACATCACACACACACCACACACCACACACATACATCACACACACACCACACACACACATCAAACACACACAGATCACACACAAATCATACACAAACACATTGCACACACACATACATCACACATCACACACACACACACACCACACACTACATACATCACACATCACACACACATACATCACACACACACACATACATCACACACCACACATCATACACACACACACACACCACACACACATCACACACATCACAGACACACCACACACACACACCACACACACATCACACACCACACACACCACACACACACATACATCACACATCACACACACACATACATCACACACACATCACACACACCACACACACACACACCACACACACCACACACACACCTACATCACACATCACACACACACACACACAAACCCACACACACAAACCCACACACACCACACACACCACACACTCACCACACACCACACACACATCACACACACACACACCACACACACCACACACACACCTACATCACACATCACACACAAACCCACACACACACACACACATCACACACACCACACACACATCACACACACCACACACACACACCACACACACACCACACACACCACACACACACCACACACACACCACACACACACCACACACACACACTAAACACACACACACATCACACACACACCCCACACCCACACACACACCACACACCCACACCACACACACACACCACCCACACCACCCACACCACACACACACACCACACACACACCACACACACCACACACACACACCATACACACACCACACACACCACACACACACCACACACACACCACACACACACCACACACACTACACACACCACACACACACCACACACACACCACACACACACCACACACACACCACACACACACCACACACACACCACACACACTCCACACACACCACACACACCACACACACACCACACACACCACACACACACCACACACACACCACACACACTACACACACCACACACACACCACACACACACCACACACACACCACACACACTACACACACCACACACACTCCACACACACCACACACACACCACACACACCACACACACTTGGTGAGCGAGTCTCCCGCGTGGTGAGCGAGTCTCCCGCGTGGTGAGCCGTGTGGTGAGCCGTGTGGTGAGCGAGTCTCCTGTGTGGTGAGCGAGTCTCCCGCGTCGTGAGCGAGTCTCCTGTGTGGTGAGCCGTGTGGTGAGCGAGTCTCCCGTGTGGTGAGCCGTGTGGTGAGCCGTGTGGTGAGCGAGCCTCCCGCGTGGTGAGCCGTGTGGTGAGCCGTGTGGTGAGCGAGCCTCCCGCGTGGTGAGCCGTGTGGTGAGCCGTGTGGTGAGCGAGTCTCCTGTGTGGTGAGCCGTGTGGTGAGCCGTGTGGTGAGCGAGTCTCCCGCGTGGTGAGCCGTGTGGTGAGCCGTGTGGTGAGCGAGTCTCCCGCGTGGTGAGCCGTGTGGTGAGCCGCGTGGTGAGCGAGTCTCCTGTGTGGTGAGCGAGTCTCCCGTGTGGTGAGCGAGTCTCCCGCGTGGTGAGCGAGTCTCCCGTGTGGTGAGCGAGTCTCCCGTGTGGTGAGCGAGTCTCCCGCGTGGTGAGCGAGTCTCCCGTGTGGTGAGCGAGTCTCCCGTGTGGTGAGCGAGTCTCCCGTGTGGTGAGCTGTGTGGTGAGCGAGCCTCCCGCGTGGTGAGCCGTGTGGTGAGCCGTGTGGTGAGCGAGTCTCCCGCGTGATGAGCCGTGTGGTGAGCCGTGTGGTGAGCCGTGTGGTGAGCTGTGTGGTGAGCGAGTCTCCCGCGTGATGAGCCGTGTGGTGAGCCGCGTGGTGAGCGAGTCTCCCGTGTGGTGAGCCGTGTGGTGAGCGAGTCTCCCGTGTGGTGAGCGAGTCTCCCGTGTGGTGAGCGAGTCTCCCGTGTGGTGAGCTGTGTGGTGAGCGAGTCTCCCGTGTGGTGAGCGAGTCTCCCGTGTGGTGAGCGAGTCTCCCGTGTGGTGAGCTGTGTGGTGAGCGAGTCTCCCGTGTGGTGAGCGAGTCTCCCGTGTGGTGAGCGAGTCTCCCGTGTGGTGAGCGAGTCTCCCGTGTGGTGAGCGAGTCTCCCGTGTGGTGAGCTGTGTGGTGAGCGAGTCTCCCGTGTGGTGAGCGAGTCTCCCGTGTGGTGAGCGAGTCTCCCGTGTGGTGAGCTGTGTGGTGAGCGAGTCTCCCGTGTGGTGAGCGAGTCTCCCGCGTGGTGAGCGAGTCTCCCGTGTGGTGAGCGAGTCTCCCGTGTGGTGAGCTGTGTGGTGAGCGAGTCCTCACCGATGACTGAGGGCAGCGTTCCGCCCGGTGAGCCCACGGTGGAGAGGCAGGGTCCGTTGTTGCCGGCGCTGGACACAAACACCACGCCGTGCTTGTTCACCGCCTCCGTGATCACCTCGCACACACGCCTGCGGGTTCCGTGGTGAGGGGTGGTGAGGGTGAGGTGGTGAGAGAGAGAGACACACGGTGGAGAAGGGATGGTGCTGATGATGACGACGATGATGACGATAGTGGTGGTGATGGTGGTGGTGGTGGTAGCGGTGGTGGTGGTAGCGGTGGTGGTAGCGGTGGTGGTAGTGGTGGCGGTGGTGGTGTTAGTGGCGGTGGTGGCGGTGGTGGCGGTGGTGGTGTTAGTGGTGGTAGTGGTGGTGATGGTGGTGGTAGTGGTGGTGGTGGTAGCAGTGGTGGTGGTAGCGGTGGTGGTGGTAGCAGTGGTGGTGGTAGCGGTGGTGGTAGTGGTGGCGGTGGTGGTGTTAGTGGCGGTGGTGGCGGTGGTGGTGGTGGTAGTGGCAGCGGTGGTGGCGGTGTTAGTGGTGTTAGTGGTGGTAGTGGTGGTGGTGGTGGCGGCGGTGGTGGTGGTGGTAGTGGTGGTGGTGGTGTTAGTGGTGGTGGTAGTGGTGGTGGTGGTGGCGGTGGTGTTAGTGGTGGTGGTGGTGGTAGTGGTGGTGGTAGTGGTGGTGTTAGTGGTGGTGGTGGCGGTGATGACGGTGGTAGTGGTGGTGGTGTTAGTGGTGGTGTTAGTGGTGGTGGTGGTGGCGGTGATGACGGTGGTGTCGACCGCTCACCCCGCGTTGGGCCAGTGAGCCGCTTCACCGTAGCTGTAGTTGACGAGGTCGCATTTGTGATTCATCACCTCGATCATCTGTGCCAAGCGCACACACACGCAGAGAGAGAGAGAGTGGTGAGCGTGAGCGGTGAGTGAGTGAGTGATGAGCGAGTGAGCGAGCGAGTGATGTGTGAGTGAGTGATGAGCGAGTGAGCGGGCGAGCGAGTGAGTAAGCGAGTGAGCGTGTGAGTGATGAGCGAGTGAGCGAGCGAGTGAGCGAGCGAGCGAGTGAGTGAGCGGGTGATGAGTGAGTGATGAGTGAGTGATGAGCGAGTGATGAGTGAGTGAGTGAGCGAGCGAGTGAGCGGGTAAGCGAGTGAGTGAGTGATGAGTGAGTGAGCGATTGAGTGAACGAGTGAGCGAGCGATGAGCGAGTGGGCGAGCGAGTGAGTGAGTGAGCAGGTGAGCGAGTGTGTGAGTGATGAGCGAGTGAGTGAGCGAGTGAGTGGCGAGCGATTGAGTGAACGAGTGAGCGAGTGGTGAGCGAGCGAACGAGCAGTGAGTGAGTGATGAGCGAGTGAGCGAACGAGTGAGTGAGTGAGTGAGCGAGTGATGAGCGAGTGTGTGAGTGAGTGAGTGAGTGATGAACGAGTGAGCGAGCGAGTGAGTGAGTGAGTGATGAGTGAGTGAGCGAACGAGTGAGTGAGTGTGTGAGTGATGAACGAGTGAGCGAACGAGTGAGTGTGTGAGTGATGAACGAGTGAGTGATGAGCGAGTGAGCGAACGAGTGAGCGAGTGAGTGAGTGATGAACGAGTGAGCGAACGAGTGAGTGAGTGTGTGAGCGAGTGATGAGCGAGTGTGTGAGTGAGTGATGAGTGAGTGAGTGATGAGTGAGTGAGTGTGTGAGTGAGTGATGAGCGAGTGAGCGAACGAGTGAGTGTGTGAGCGAGTGATGAGGGAGTGTGTGAGTGAGTGATGAGTGAGTACCGCGCGTATGAGTGCGGTGCCGGTCTCCATGGTGTTGAGCCGTGAGTCTCCGATCTTGATGGCCAGGATCTGCGCTCCGGGTGCCACTCCACTCCGCTCCGGCTCCTCGGGGAAAAACCCCGCAGCAATACTCGCAACGTGGGTGCCGTGGGCGCCTGGGAGGGAGGCGGGGAGAGAGAGAGAGATGGTGGTGAGTGAGAGATGGTGGTGAGAGAGAGGAGGTGGTGAGTGAGATGGTGAGAGAGAGATGGTGAGAGGGATGGTGAGAGAGATGGTGGTGAGTGAGAGAGAGGTGGTGGTGAGATGGTGAGAGAGAGGTGGTGAGTGAGAGAGAGGTGGTGGTGAGAGAGAGATGGTGGTGAGTGAGAGAGAGGTGGTGGTGAGAGAGAGGGAGGCGGGGAGAGAGAGATGGTGGTGAGAGAGAGATGGTGGTGAGTGAGATGGTGAGAGAGAGATGGTGAGAGAGAGATGGTGAGAGAGAGATGGTGAGAGAGAGAGAGAGAGGTGGTGGTGAGTGAGAAAGAGGTGGTGGTGAGTGAGAGGGAGGTGGTGGTGAGTGAGAGGGAGGCGGGGAGAGAGAGATGGTGGTGAAAGAGAGATGGTGGTGAGTGAGATGGTGAGAGAGAGATGGTGAGAGAGATGGTGAGAGAGATGGTGAGAGAGAAAGATGGTGAGAGAGAGAGATGGTGAGAGAGAGATGGTGAGAGAGAGATGGTGAGAGAGAGAGATGGTGAGAGAGAGATGGTGAGAGAGAGATGGTGAGAGAGATGGTGAGAGAGAGATGGTGAGAGAGAGATGGTGAGTGAGAGATGGTGAGAGAGAGAGATGGTGAGAGAGATGGTGAGAGAGAGATGGTGAGAGAGAGAGATGGTGAGAGAGAGATGGTGAGAGAGAGATGGTGAGAGAGAGAGATGGTGAGAGAGAGATGGTGAGAGAGAGATGGTGAGAGAGATGGTGAGAGAGAGATGGTGAGAGAGAGATGGTGAGAGAGAGATGGTGAGAGAGAGATGGTGAGAGAGAGATGGTGAGAGAGAGATGGTGAGAGAGAGATGGTGAGAGAGAGATGGTGAGAGAGAGATGGTGAGAGAGAGATGGTGAGAGAGAGGCGGGGAGAGAGAGAGATGGTGAGAGAGATGGTGAGAGATGGTGAGAGATGGTGAGAGAGAGAGAGATGGTGAGAGAGAGATGGTGAGAGAGAGATGGTGAGAGAGAGATGGTGAGAGAGAGATGGTGAGAGAGAGATGGTGAGAGAGAGATGGTGAGAGAGAGATGGTGAGAGAGAGGCGGGGAGAGAGAGAGATGGTGAGAGAGATGGTGAGAGATGGTGAGAGATGGTGAGAGAGAGAGATGGTGAGAGAGAGATGGTGAGAGAGAGATGGTGAGAGAGAGATGGTGAGAGAGAGATGGTGAGAGAGAGATGGTGAGAGAGAGATGGTGAGAGAGAGATGGTGAGAGAGAGATGGTGAGAGAGAGATGGTGAGAGAGAGGCGGGGAGAGAGAGAGATGGTGAGAGAGATGGTGAGAGATGGTGAGAGATGGTGAGAGAGAGAGATGGTGAGAGAGAGATGGTGAGAGAGAGATGGTGAGAGAGAGATGGTGAGAGAGAGATGGTGAGAGAGAGATGGTGAGAGAGAGATGGTGAGAGAGAGGCGGGGAGAGAGAGGAGGGAGAGAGATGGTGAGAGAGATGGTGAGAGATGGTGAGAGATGGTGAG